AGCTCCCAGGAATTCCTGGAATCCCCAAAGAGCTCCCAAAGATCTCCTCCATGGCCTCGCAGGAGCGGTAATCCAGCTTCTCCCCTGAAAACACGGAATTCCCGAATTCTGGAATTCCCGAAATTCCCAAAATCCCCAAAGAGCTCCCGGGAATTCCCAAAATCCCCAAAGATCTCCTCCATGGCCTCGCAGGAGCGGTAATCCAGCTTCTCCCCTGAAACCACGGAATGACGGAATTCTGGAATTCCCGAAATTCCCAAAATTCCCAAAGAGCTCCCGGGAATTCCTGAAACAGCTCCCAGGAATTCCTGGAAAACCCAAAGATCTCCTCCATGGCCTCGCAGGAGCGGTAATCCAGCTTCTCCCCTGAAAACACGGAATGACGGAATTCCCGAATTCCCAAATTCCCAAAATCCCCAAACAGCTCCCGGGAATTCCCAAAATCCCCAAACAGTTCCTGGGAATTCCCAAAATCCCCAAAGAGCTCCCGGGAATTCCTGAAACAGCTCCCAGGAATTCCCAAAATCCCCAAAGATCTCCTCCATGGCCTCGCAGGAGTGGTAATCCAGCTTCTCCCCTGAAACCACGGAATGACGGAATTCTGGAATTCCCGAATTCCCAAAATCCCCAAACAGCTCCCGGGAATTCCCAAAATCCCCAAACAGTTCCCGGGAATTCCCAAAATCCCCAAAGAGTCCCAAAGATCTCCTCCATGGCCTCGCAGGAGCGGTAATCCAGCTTCTCCCCTGAAACCACGGAATGACGGAATTCCCGGAATTCCCGAATTCCCAAAATCCCCAAACAGTTCCTGGGAATTCCCAAAATCCCCAAAGATCTCCTCCATGGCCTCGCAGGAGCGGTAATCCAGCTTCTCCCCTGAAAACACGGAATTCCCGAATTCCCAAATTCCCAGAATTCCCAAAGAGCTCCCGGGAATTCCCAAAATCCCCAAACAGTTCCCAGGAGCTGTTTCAGGAATTCCCGGGAATTCCCAGGAGCTGTTTGGGGCTTCCCGGGAATTCCCGGGAACTGTTTCAGGAATTCCGGGGGGATTCCCGGGAATTCCTGGGAATTCCCAAACAGCTCCCGGGAATTCCTGGGAATTCCTGAAACAGCTCCCAGGAATCTCCAGGAATTCCCGGAATTCTGAAACAGCTCCCAGGAATCCCCGGGAATCCCCAAACAACTCCCAGGAATCCCCACTGAAATCCCCAGAAATTCCCAGGAAATTCCCAGAAATTCCCACTGAAATCCCCAGGAATTCCCAGGAAATTCCCAGGAATTCCCACTGAAATTCCCAGAAATTCCCACTGAAATCCCCAGGAATTCCCAGGAAATTCCCGAAACAGCTCCCAGGAATCCCCACTGAAATCCCCAGAAATTCCCACTGAAATCCCCGGGAATTCCCACTGAAATTCCCAGGAAATTCCCGAAACAGCTCCAAGGAATTCCCACTGAGATCCCCAGAAAGGCCGGAGAAACTCCAAGGAAGTTCCCGAGAAAATCCCCAGAAATTCCGGAGAAATTCCTGAGAAATTCCCAGGAAATTCCCACAAAAATCCTCAGAAATTCCTGAGAAAATCCAAGAAAATCTTGAGAAATTCCCAGGAAATTCCCACAAAAATCCCCAGAAATTCCAGAGAAATTCCTGAGAAATTCCCAGGAAATTCCCACGAAAATCCTCAGAAATTCCTGAGAAAATCCAAGAAAATCTTGAGAAATTCCCAGGAAATTCCCCAGAAATTCTGGAGAAATCCCCAGAAAAATCCCAATCAATTTCTGAGAAAATCCCGAAAAATTCCTGAGAAAAATCCAAGAAAATCCCGAAAAAATCCTGAAAAATTCCCGAAAAATTCCCGAGAAATTCCCGAG